GTTCGAACGAGCGCACGCACAATAATGTGTACATAATTGGAATGACGACAGCGGGCGAAGCGTGAGTCGAGTGCGTGGTAGAGTAACAACGTTGGAATTTGTTTTCTGTACGTGGTTGCTAAGCGTGGTACGCCTTACCAGAATCTCTCTTCTGTGCTCCCACGATGGTAGAGTTCAAAGCCCGAGTTGACCGTGTACTCTTTTCTCTGCACCACTTCACATGACTCGTTGCTTATGACCATACATCAGTGACCATAAGTGATTTCGTTGACAGTCAACTCCCAGGATGGGCAAACTTTTTTAACCTCACTTATGAGTTCAGGAGGTGGCGGCATGAAGTTTACTAACGTCCCATTTATCATCATCGCTTTTGACATACAACAGATATGCAGTTCATAATACGTATACCGCGGTGAGTCCACCAGTGTGAACATACTTTTGCTGATAACCTTTCTATATTTGCAACCACCATGACCATCCTAAGGGACCTTTTCAAGCTTCGGCGTTTTTACCCCCTATGAAACCATCGTTTCATGTTTTCATTGATACAGATCGTGTGTGAATCACCTGAGCCAACGTAGGAACTAGCTGTTGCACTTTCCAAATTAGAAGAGATTCGGCATGAATTTTCTATGTTAAAACGTAACAAGGTGCTTGGACCCGACGACCCTCCCCATCTTTGTTGAAAGATGGGGTAGCTCTTCAATGAACGCACTTGCTGCTCTATGCAACACTATTTGGGACACTAAAGATGTGCCTTTTATATTGGTGACTGTCAACTGTAGTTAACCGCGCATTTTCCACTAAGGTCGGCGTAATTTGTGCGAAAATCATCGGTGTATCGACCCCAATTCTATTTCCTCCAAAGTTATGGTGGATATCAGCCTTCGACGACTTGCTTGTCCTCGTGGAAACCGAATTGTCGACGGCTAGACCGGCTACTGCTCTGGTAGTTCTTGCACCAGCCATATGTTTGCCCTTCGATCAATGCTGGAGCAACAACACACAGGCAACCTACTATGGTGGTATTCATTGACTTGAAATTGTCTTCGATTTTGTTGACCGGGCCACCTTGTGGCACTGCGTTTCCGTGAAGAGCGTGCTTTGGAAACTCTTTTCTGTGCTGAAATCTCTCTACAGTGACTCCCGTGGCCGCATAATATCTACTGAAGGCTATCTTCAGAGTTCCCCACGACAAGTGCGGTTCATCAGAGCTGATCTATATCTACTACGCTCTTCAACTATGTGATCGAAATGACCATAAATTACTCGATTCATTGAAAGCCTTCTGGAGCAGAAGTTCTGTTAGGTGACCGACTGGCCGACTTTTAGTATGCGAACGACATAGCGCTCCTTGGGTCTGAAGCAGTGGCTGTGCAAGTGTTACTGCACAGGCTAACGCGAAATGCTGCAAGTTTCGGCATTTGCATTGCACCTTCAAATTGCAAGGTGTATTTTCAATACTGGACCGATAAAACACCGGTTCTAGCTATCACTGAGTAGCCACTGGAAGTGGTGGAGTGGTCCAAGTACTTTGGTAGCTGTGTCACATCCGGTAGTTACATTATTGAGGATTTTACCGCGTACCTTCTGTGTTGAATGTTGTAGTGAAGGGCAGTTCCTAGTTTTTGAGCAGGAAACACCCTATTTCTATTTGTTTCAGTGACTGCCTTTGTGATTTAATCTCCCAAGGGCCAACAAGATTACGTGTCGCAATCCATTCACAAAACGAATAATTCAGTATCTCGGAATATGCTTGGAACCGACTGAGAGTACATTATTTCAAAACGTTTTGTGTATAACTCGGCTTTTATAGATTTTGTGACTAGATTTCGCTCTTTGTCATAGTAGAAATCTACGAAAAACGTTTTATAATCAATACCGTCTGAAATCACACAATGGGTACTCCAAAATAACCTTCCAATCAGTTATTAACGTTATGCCAAACACTGCCGTCGTGAGCCATTTGCCAAATAGGCAGAGGTCTCAAATGGTATCCTGATGGGCCTAGGCTCGATGCTTGCTATCTCTACTAGACGAGACCAAAAAAGGTCGAAACTCGTCGTGCAATGCGATATTTTGGAGCGGCCAACACCCAATTTCCAACTTCCTCAATCATCTGATGCATCACTTGTGCGTATGGTTAACCTTAACCGCTTACATTGGCCAGGTCATGTCCTTAATACGCCTATTTAAAGATGGTGGCGCATCGCTGGTCCGAGAACTCACCGTTTTGTTCTCGAAAATTTGGTCGAAAGAGAAGGTTCCATCATCTTGGGGTGAATCGATAGTCGTACCCATCTTCAAGAAGGGCCTGCGCACAATCTGCTCCAACTACAGAGGAATAAGTTTAGTCCCCGTCGTTTGCAAGCCGCTGGTGTCCATCATGCTTCGCAGGCTATCCCCAACACGCGAATCGTTGCAACGAGAAGAACAAGCTGGGTTTCGCCCTGGTCGCGGCTGCATCGATCAAATCTTCACACTTCGCCAGATCCTCGAGCTCCGCCATGTGTATCAGAGGCCAACGATTGCTGTGTTCCTGGATATCCGTGCAGCCTTCGATTCTGTCGATCGTACAGTACTGTGGCAGTGCCTTCTGAGGAACGGTGTCCCCGAGAAGTTCGTCTCCATACTGCGCGCTCTCTATAGTCTGACATCGGGCAGGGTTAGGGCTTATGGCAAGCTTTCGCCTACCTTTGTGGTCTCCAGTGAGGTTCGACACGGATGTCCTATCTCTCCGTTCCTATTCAACTTTGCCATTGAGGATGTCCTGAAGAACGCTCTAGACGGTTCGTTGAACGCTGGCGTTGAGCTCCTCCCAGGTAGTCGAGTTGTTGATTTGGATTATGCTGATGATATCGCCTTGTTGGTTGACATCCACACGTCGTCCAACTTGCGTTAAACCGCTTGACGATTGAAGCATCAAAGTATGGTATGTGCTTTTCGCCATCCAAATGCAAGGCTCTCTTTCAAGACTGGCGGGTGCCTCTGCCTGCACTCACGCTTGCTGGTGAGACACTGGAGGTTGTGGAGAGCTTTGTCTACTTGGGAAGTTGCATCACTGCTGGCTGGGCAGTTGGAGACGAGATTTCGATGCGCATCTCGAAAGCACGCCTCGCTTTTTCTAGGCTGAGGCATTTGTGGCGTCGCCACGGCATTCGTCTCTCCATCAAAGGGCGGGTCTGTTGTGCAACTGTTCGTGCTGTACTGTTGTACGGATGCGAGACCTGGCCCATTCGTAAAGATGACTTGCGCAGGCTATCCGTCTTCGAGCACCGCTGTCTGCGGTCCATTGTCCGTGTGTGGTGGCAGCACCACGTAAGCAATGTGGAAGTTAGACAGCGTGTCTTGGGACGTGGAAGCCACTCGCTCGAGGAGCTCATCTCACTGCATCAACTGCGGTGGTTGGGACACGTATTGCGCATGCCTGTCCAGCGTTACCCCCGTCGTGCGTTGTTTGCACTTGCTGGACAGGGCTGGAAGAGACGGTCTGGTGGACAGCCTACAACATGGAGAAGCCGCATGAAAAAGTTGACGAAACAATTGGCCTCGGCCGGTTGTTGTCTACTACCTGGTTGGGGTCCGAGAGACGAGGATACTTGCTGGTTGAAAACCTTGGAAGTTATGGCTCGAGATCGATGTCAATGGCGGATGTGTGCATCAGTGTGTTGCAGTGTCCCTTCCTCCTCCCCCTAAAAAAGAACAAACTGAAAAAAATTTCAAAAACTGTGAGTGGTAAACATGACAAAAAAAGCATTTCTTGTTGCTCTTTTCTTATTATTCATATTGTTTTCCTATTCAGCCATGATTCCGATGGCACAATATCTGTACCACAGATTGTGTATAATATATATATATATATATATATATATATATATATATATATAATACGCCCGTCAATCTACTTACTCGGTGTGTACTTTACTCCCTGGCTGGAAAAATCCGGGTGAAACAGCAAGGTCGGCAGTCGATGACGTGGCATAGAGGCAGAAAGTTAACGGCGGGACTCAGACAAGCTGATGCATACTATCTTTGTGGATGAGTGTCCCGGGATGGTCCACACCAGTGCTTGGAGACCCTATCTGACATGGCGCAGTTGCGCAATCAGTAGGGCTCATGCATGTTTCTTGCATCTAGCTGTTCAACTTCATTCCAGCCAGAGTAGTTTTGTGCCCTTATGACTCGGTTTTACTTTTTGCACTATTTGCATTCAGTTTCATTTTGTGACGTTTTTCTCTAACACTATGCTAGCGAATAGTCCTGGTATATTGATCCACCGTACTTCGATGTCCGAATCATAGTCGTCCAATTGAACTGTAGTAAACAACAGTGAGTATGCATCTGTCTGCCGGTGGCCGAGTGGTCTGCACGTTTGGTTTGCAACTACAAGGTCACCGGTTCGAATCCGCGTAGGGGTGGGCGTCCTCGCGGTATTCTCAGCCTGCGCGCGACTGGTGGTAGTCGCGTGGCAGCGAAGCGCCGTTACGGCGAACAGCTGACACATCTCTTATCTTTTCTATGCATCTGGTCCTACTGGACCCGAACCTATGACCTTATACTAATCCGCGGCACAAACCACTTACTCAAACCACGGTGATCGGTTATTTTGAAATGTACTGCATCAGTTTTACTGAAAGTGAACTATTTGTTGCTTGAGGTACGGTTGTCCACCTTTGCTCTGCATGGAAATCGCATTGAATGTGCGAAAGTGACGCCGTTCGGTACACTTACTTCTAGCAGAAATACCGCGCTGAATGCTTACAGCTTGTTGGTAGGAAAACTGATGCATGTCTGGTAGCTGAAAATTTAGTTAACACGACTAAATTGATCACGGGACTCGTTCTTCAAACTATCGAAACAACTGCACACTTCATTGCACTTGGGATACTAAAAATCATTCTGATCCCCCTGTGGTGGAATGTTTCGGGGTTTTGTCGTATCACCAGATAACATACAATCGAGGGTTCAAACATCGGAAACGGATAAATGCTTCTACTTACATGCTGGTTTGAAACTTGTTGAGTGTGCAGACTATAGAGTCCACTTGCAGCTTTTTCAGCGATGTTCCGTAATGCGCGGACAATGGTTACAAATCTGACACACTGAGATAATGGATGGAAATGGCATAAATATGTGAACGGATGGTGCGCACAAGTTAGTATATATGTTTAATGGCATAGAGTTTCTAACTAGCCCACTAGTTTTGCCGAAAACTTTGGGCATGGCATTTGTTAGCACTTCCCACCAACTCCTTGCTCTATCAATTATTTTGTTCATGTGTCCGGCCATCGCTAGCGATTCTTGCAACTGCGTACGAGAACCACAACAAGTATGTTTAACGCCAGTGAGGCATCCCACTCCCGGTGCTCAGGGAATTACCAGCTGACAACCCTCAGAAGCTTTAGTAAAAGTTTGGATGAATCTCGCACAAGCTACCTGAATGCTACAAAAGATCCCGGAAAACAGGATTTAAGCAAACGGAACTACCTCCAACAGCGAGTTACGCTGCTCTCTTCCTTCTCCGTGCAATCAGTAGTACACGGCAACCTGTTTACTTTGCAAATAGCAGGGGAGTTACCTACTCTCACAGGGGATACGTGAGAGCTAGTTACTGGTAGAAAATGAACAGCAAATGCCGTGTTCCCCATCTACGCAGATTCTAAACGTCAAGCCATTGTTTCCGCTAATGTTGCGTGTACAACCACGCGATCATTTTCACCTAACCCTCAGGAGTGCATAGTGCTCTGTTTATGTGTGGACGCCCAGGGGGTGAGATTTACGAAGTGTCACATAGAGGAATCCTGCTAACTGCTAGCTACAATCGTAAAATGGCCGAAAACATGCACCGCTTTCACCTTCCTTCATCAGTCTCCATTTCACCTTACCAAGCACAATCCAAATTTCCTACCCATCCATCCGCTTCATCTCTTAGTTTGTCCAAGTATATGCATTCGCAGAAAGCCTGGCGGGATGAACATCGAAGGGGCACACACTTATGCTTATAAACTCAAGTCAGTGTCTATACCTTTTCGAAAGCAAGCCAGTCCTTAACGGAATCAAGCTCCTCCTTAAGAATATTCAACCCAATTCGTAACCACATCAAGCTGAATCCATCGTCTTGACCAATTGCAAATCAGTACAAGTGCACTCAGAACGTCTGCATCGGTTGGTGCAGCGCTCAGGCAACAAATCACGTGATGCAGTGGACGCGAAAACAACTCGTGAGCTCATTCACTGTAGGATGGGTGCGGACTAGCACGCGGCATCTATGGACGGTTGAGGAAGTACTGTAACTTCCACCCACTCACTTACGCGGCATCAAGACACACAACGCAGAAGTGGGCGGCCATCCGCGTGCTCACTGTTACGCGCAGACGACCAGACATGAAATTTACTCTACGATGAGACAGTATCGATTGCACTGGGTAGGGTGAAACACCGTTTGACTGAAGAGATTAACCTAGGGAGTGACCGAAAATTAAGTTGGTTGAGACAACCGACAGTGACATTGCGCGGTATGTCGTTCTAGCTCGGGTTTCAGTTGGAAGTAGGCACTGGAGAACATGATGGTATCATTAGATCGCCAATGTCCACTATGTTGTACATAGTACTGGCAAACTTCAGTAAATGGCCAAAAGTTGTTGGTGTCAAGTGGATGGCACATTTTGAACACAAAAGTGGATAAGAAAAGCTAGTTTGTGAGGAATCGGAAATCGCCCACCATAGAGTAGCACATCGCCATTCCTTGACTGCTCAGTTTGCAAGAATGATTAGCTTCCGAACCGATATATCGTCAACTGACGGACACAGATGGGACACAGTACTACAATTCCGATCTCTGTGTTTCACAGATTAGGCCATGTGCACAGAGAAGGAAGTAGACAGTAAGATAATTCCTGGGTAGTGGACACCCGAAACCGGTAGTGAAAGCCACGTTTCACAATATTTTGAAATCACATTAAAGATATACAGCGGAATGGATTGGGACGATAAGAAGATTATAGGTAGAAGGAACTGCCTTTTCCTTTCCGACGGCACTAACCAAGGAATAAAACTCGGGATCTGTTCAACAATGGTGTATCTGAAATACACACTTTTCGTAGATAAGATGACTAACGGTGTTCACAAATGTATTCACAATAACTGTGAATATGTGTGTATATGAGATACCGCGAGCGAACTGCACACAACGCTGCTGGAACACCTGAGGCGCATTTCACGATGACGTCTAATGCTCTACTGTGAGATTCAGCGGTGGTGACGCACCTGTTAGGTACGGTGCATGTAAGGTGGCCAGATTATTGATGAGCCAAACCGAGACGCTTCCAGATTTCTTGCACGGCAAACCGAGACATTTAACCTACCCCCGTTTGTTTCTGCATATGTTGATCGTACAATATATTGAAAAGATACGTATAACCCATTGTGAGGCTAGAACCGGTAGTTCACTCTAACGAGTTAGTTTTTAAGACCACTGGGTCATGGAGGATAGTAAGAATCACCATAAATAAGTTCTTTGTTGTGGCATCACGTGACTGAGTCCCCAATGACTTATACGTTACTGCTAAACAGCGAATAGGGTAGTCGCCAAAACTACAACCAAGCGACTTAAGCAGCCAACTAGCCTGAATCACTATTTAAAAAACTTGGATTGCATATTGAATGGAGGTATTTGGGATACTTATCCGACAAAGGTTAATTTAACACACACATTTCACTTTTGCACCTACTGGTCCATCGTGACGCGGTCTGAATTTGGAACCAACATTCGTTCTATCGGGTAATTTCAGCTTGCTCTTCGGCCTGGGGTTTCAGTGTGCGCGGAAGTAATCAAGTCTCATGCTGCTAATTTAACATATGGGAACAGCAGCTAATAACTTTTACTATGTGTTGCCCAGTTGCACTAGACCTAAGTATTCAGTCGGTAAACAAATGGAAAGCAGTGCACCAAGATTTTCTTGATTTGAGTCCTACAACGATCTCGATTCCGCGGGCAGATACGCAGCACGTTGCTGAAGGCTGAAGTTGGCATGAAGCCAACTATGAGCCTTGAACTCGCCAAATACTCATGCATCGAAACATAGTATAGCAGTGCAATTGAGCACGTTAGAATGTGATATCGAGTCAACACTACCAGTACCCAAGGCAGCTCTGTGATAGTTAATTCCTTAAGGTAGACTGAACGATAGCTCCTGATTACTAACTTAGAGATATACTGTAACACACGTGACCTATGTACTGCGCAGCAAAACCTCTTAAGTTCCTGACGCGCAATGGAAGGTCGTTGTCCACATTCGGGAATTGTCAGAAGTAAGCAAGTTTTCGTAATGCTGATGCTTGCAAATCGCGGTGCTCATTCTGCGCACAGAAGTCCCACTACCATTTACTGCAGGTGCCAGTAGCACAAACACGAAGCAAGTACCTAGCTGCAGTACAGCTGATATTATCTTCTTTTATACTATGGTGTAGATCATCTGCCTATCGAACTCAGTTAACTTTGGTTTATCAGCGCTGTCCATTGAACAAGTAAGCACAATAATTATTCCTTCTCTTCATCGTTTCATTTGTCTTGCTAACTTCGGATGAGTTTTACTTAACCCTTAGGCGTGTAACTCTCAACTTTCTGTGCATACACTAAGACGCTTACTGTTGTTCAAGAAGACACAGTTAAAGTTCCCCATTAGTTCCGTTATCATCTCTAGGTAATATTCTGTGTGTTAGCTGCAGACACTTGAGTGTGACAGCTGTGAGACTGTGTACACAACGCCCGAGCCGAAATCGACACACCGATCTCATCGGATGTCAAATTATATATGAGCCCAACGATAGATGAATCGTTTTTATCATGACAAACGTTGCTTGATACATACAAACCACTGGTGACCAGTCACTTGCTCTCGTGTACGTGTTTTGACGCATGAACTGAAGCCAGTGTAAGCAAGTGCAAAATTGTTAAACCGGGTCCCCGCTCACCTCACACAACAATCGTCTGCATAGCTTCGTGTAAGCACTCTGCCATCAACTTGACACACAAAACTGGATGATCGGCCTGCTCGTTTAGGCCCTGTGGCAACCTAAGATTAAGGAAGGATAAATTAATTGGTGAGCTTTGTAGAACACGTTGACGGTTCACGCAAAACTAGGCCTAAAACCGCACAACCGAACGTTACTTTCTTCGCGGTAAGTTACGTTGAGGGTGTACGAATCAGAATAGCAATATCTAATTGTTGTAATACTTTCATCTCAAATGCGCCCACTTAGACATAAGCGTAGTAACGAAATATACTAATACGAGGGCTTCTCTTCGATACCACATACAGTGTACATCTTTCCCACTCGTCAGCTGCACAGCTGTACGGACACATAGATGCAACAGCTTGGTGATATTAGAGCCAGCAACCGCCGTAAGACCTGTTCCACCGGACCTAGACGCCTCAGACAAAAGGAATCGAAGCCCAGCTCCATGCATCCTTTCAGAACAGAGCAGCTAAACCCAATGTAAGATCAACAATCCGGTCAGCCACCATTACTCCGGTAACTCCTACCCTGACATGAAGAGCTGCACCAATTGATGCGTTGTATTTCATCTACCCTCAAAAGGTAATGACACATCTAATGATATTAAAGAGCAGCCAACATGACAGAAGAGCACTCCAGCGTGCCGTAGGCAGCTGTTAAATTAGGGGTGGTTGGTGCTGCCAATACTGCCGCGGAACCCAGGATGCCATTTGTCGTCCCACCAAGGAAATACCGTACGCAATCCTCCAGGAAGGGTAGCATTATACAACGTCATAATTCCTTAAAGTTTACAAGTTTCCGTGGGCTTAAAACTGAGGTAAATCAGATCAAATGCAAAATGCAAGACAGCCAAAGACTAGGACTTCGTGTCAAATAACAAAGGTCTAAGCCAAACCGGTATTTATGTTACTATAGGCCCGTCATCCATATTTTGTATAGTAGGGTGAACCAAGTTATCCCCAAGTAACGATTCCGTCAGGATATGATACAGCAGCCGCTCTCTTGTCTCCGAACTACCTCATGCATTGTTGGCATTTTTCCAGATGTTCCTTGGGGCGAAAACCTAAGCACAAACAAACCCTGA